AGAGATCTCCTGGAGGGAGGATTGGCTGTGGGAGAGATAAAGAAAACTGCCCAATGGACAGCAGAGAACTGCCCCAGCTCTGACAGAGGGTGATGGAATGCACACCCCCACCACATCTTGCATTTGCAAGCTAAGACAAAAGGGGTGTGCAGATAGAATAGTCATGCATGCAGACCAAGCCAGTGGCATGAGCTGGTTGCAAATTACTGAGTTTCAGCAAATTATGGTGAGATTTACTGCAACAGAAAGTCATGTTTGCATTGTTAATTTTCTTCCTGCATACTCATAGCTGTAACCAAAGAAGACAAAGCCTGCTGGTAAATTGATTATGCATGTGCCAGCTACTCTATTCCATTTCCAGCAGGGGTATGCTATTTCTGTACACACCAGTTGCCTAACGGGTCCTTATTTGCTCTGTTGCATTTCAGGGGAAGCTCTGGGACGCAGTGGGCCAGTGAAGGTGCCATATGCACTGTTTGATTCCTACCCAGAGGATTTCCATGTGGAAGGACTGCCTGAGGGGGTGCCCTTCCGCCAGCCTACGACTTTTGGGATTCCAAGGCTAGAGAAAATCCTGAGAAATAGACCCAAAATAAAATTTATTATTAAAAAGTAAGGCTCCCATATGTTTTTAATAATCTGTTCTATGAGAATTGAAATGTAGACCAAAAAATGAAATTGTGTTGCCAAGTTGCTAAATTACTCTATAAAATACACACTGCAATATTTTTATTGAGGAAATGATGGGAAAGCTCTTGTGCCAGTGGAACAAGATACAATAATCTCTTTGTTCTGACAGACTCTTGGACTGCTGTGAGAGGAAGAGCAAGTCCATATTTCTTAATCCATCACAATTATCACATCATTGGTTTAATTCCTACTGCAAGGAGCACTTATGGGCTACTCATAAAGCTTGCTGGTTGTGTATTGGGAGCTGAGGAGTGGAGATTATTTTAATGACAGCTGTAAGAATTCTCTTTCTTTTGTCTAGAACAGGTTTAGATATTCCTGTGCCAGTGCAGAAACAGTGGCAAGAGAAATTACAAGGACAGATAGTGATAGAACAAGGGGGGGACAGAGAGCAGGGTAAAATTAGATGTTTGGAAGAAATTTTCACTGGGAGGGTGTTGCCCAGAGCAGCTGTGGCTGCCCCATCCCTGGAAGTGTTCAAGGCCAGGTTGGATGGGGTTTTGAGCAACCTGATGTAGTAGATGATGTCCCTGCTCGTGGCAGGGGTAAGGTTTTAGGCTCCTTCCAACCCAAACCAGTCTAAGATTCTGTGATTCTGGGAAGTTATGGAGCTTCTCAGTCATTGCATTCTTGACTGACTGTTTGGCTGAGAGGATATCACTTAGTTACCATTTTTAGAAAATGGGATTTTCTTTAATGTTGATGTTATAATTTTATTATTGTATGTAAAATGTTCAATCTGTTTTCAGGCCTGAGGTGCTTGAGGCAGCTATCAAAGGAAGGTCTGATAGAAGCCCGCAAGGTGAGTTTTGCAGCTGCTTCACTTCCCAAATAACAGTTTATTTCAAGGGTTAAATATTAATTATGAGAGCAGCGTGGTGCTAATAAATTCCTGAAATATTTATTCTACATTGCAGTTGCTTGGTTTGTTTGTCTGTTTTCAAGATGGGAAAAGCACTTACCAGTTACAGTTAAAATATAGCTCTCACAAGGGAGTATTAATTCTTTTAGGTTATTCACAAATAATTGTGCCTCTAATGTATTCTTTACTACATTCTATCAAAATGTAGCCAGCAATGTAGGATTCACAGGATTTGTTTGGGTCTAGAGATAAATTATTTGCTCCTAGTTTGTAGATCATCTAAATGACACAGGCACCAGAGACAGGAGTGCAGATAGCCAGTAGAAAATTATGTCAGGTAGGTAGGTCATGGAATAAATGCTTCCATTTTGAAACTGAAACTAGGTCCTCTTTGAAAACTTTGCCAATATTTGTTGTTTTGCAATATTTTCTTTATAGATGAAACTGAAGATTTTGACCTCTCTATAAATGTTTTCTAAATTAATCCTCTTAGGAAAAAATAATTCCTCCAGTAAAGCCAATACAGCAAGGACCACAAAAAACACAGTGAAAGCATCTGAAGATGTTGAAGACCTAAACATTGTTAAAGTAACCGTAAAAGGTGTGTATACTGTCTGGTTTCACATCATAATACTTGTGCTTCTATTCTTCATGATATCTGCTTAGTTTGATACTTTCCTACAGTCAGGCTGGTTTGCTGAAATACAAGTACAGTCAAGAAAGAACCCAAGTTACCTTTTGGTTTGGCTGAGATGTTAAATATTATCTAACACTCATTAATATCTCATCAGTGACATCTGTAGAATATTCTTAGTCCAACCACCTGTTAAGAAGTATCCACATTTTTATGATGCAGTAAATTAAATATTGACTTGCAGTTCTTGGCAACTTGCAGATGTCAGTACTTGAACTGAATTGAATGACCATGCAGGCTGAACTGCTTTGTCTTAATACCAATTACTGCTTATTTTTGCTGCATGCTGTAGCCATCTACTGAATGATCACTTTGCTTTTACCTTCACATACCATTCTGTGTTCCATAAGAAAGTCAAATACAATCTGTTGGTTTAAATTACTTTAGAAAATCATCTCTAGACATTTCTAGATTCATCCCTGGTAGTGTTCAGGGCCAGGTTGATTGGGGCTTGGAGCAACCTGGTCTAGTGGAAGGTGTCCCTGCCCATGGCAGGGGTTTAGAAATGGAGACTTTAAGGTCTCTTCCAAACCAAACCATTTTTTAGGATTCTGTAATTTCTTAGCAACCATCTATTTGTGTGTATTTCTACTATTCAGTGTTACTACTAAAATGAGGAACAAAGACAGTGCCTGTTTAGAAGCTCTTGGGTATACCTGCTTTGAGTAAACATGTAGGGATAAACAAGCTTCAGGGGTGGAAATTTGTGCTTAATTCTCATGCTGTTCTAACAATTTCTTCCAGATGATGAAAGTGAGCGACTGCCAAAAGCAGAAAATGCCAGACAATTGAGAGAGCAAGTAAATGATCTTTTTAGCCAGAAATTTGGTAATTGCTTCTTACTCCCCATTTTTATATAGGTGTGAGTGCAATTAATGTTGTTCACAGTGCAGTTACTGAATGAATATTCACACACAGTGAATTACATCTATGGTCATTAAAATGAACAAATTTGAGAATTGTATATGGATGTTGTGCTTTGACTCCAAAAAGAATCTTTTCTAAGTGATGTAGACAGTTTGGTGTTTTAAACAAAGTCCTAAGACTATAGATTGCTTCATGGTTCCCCTTCCCTTTTCCTTTTTCCTATGTCAACATGGATGAAGTATTTATTTTGCTGGCAGTCCATGGTTCTTCTCAGGGCTTCATAATCCTGACCTCTTAATACTTGGGATTAGAGTAATTTTAAAAATGCAGTTTAACCCTTTTGCTGTGTATAGTTTTGTTTGGGTTTTTTTTACTTTGCATTTTATAGAAGCAATGACTTTGGTTTCCTTATCTGAAATTCCTTCACTTGGGCTTCATTGAATTTCTTTTCATAGCATTGCAGGAAATGCTGTTTTCCCTCATGTAGCTGTCTCCTTTAATATCCTGTTCTGTACTGTTCTCTAAGAGCAGAGTCTGTGTTCTTCATGTGCTGAACTGTCAGACTTGGAGATGTGACTGATGCTCTCGTAGTAATGTTCATGAGTGTAATCCAGAGCCTCATTTCTAACACTGTAATTGTTTCATTGTCAAGTGAAGCTTGATAGTTTGAGATCTGATAGAAAGCACGGTTTGAATTTTTTTTTAATCATCTGAGGACTTTTTTGTCAGTGTAATCATAAATACTGTGGGTTTGAAAATAAACATGACCTCTCTCACTTAGGTGAAGCCACTGGTATGAATTTTCCTGTGAAAGTTCCATACAGAAAAATCACTAACAACCCTGGCTGTGTGTTGGTGGATGGAATGCCTCCAGGTGTGACATTTAAAGCACCCAGTTATCTGGAACTCAGCTCAATGAGGAAGATTTTGGATTCAGCAGAGTCTATCAAGTTCACTGTCATTAGGTATGTAGTTGCCATTAATTAGATTGTGAGTACAGTCCCATAGCTGGAATAAATGTGAGAGAGTAGAAGTTGTAGTGCATCTTTAAAGAGGTGTTGGCTCTTTCTGGATAACAATATATCCGGTCAAATGAAGCCCAGATGTTCCTGGCATGAATGAAGGAGGACATGTCCAATTTAATATGACAAAAGGCATATTACTAATACTGCATATTACAGAAAGCTGTCTTTTGAGTTCAAATCTAATCATAATAGCTAAAAAGTCCTATAGTTTTCTGGGCCTTGCTCTCCCAGTCATAATATCAAGTTTTGAAACAAGTCCAGAGCTCATTGGTTACTATGCAATATTTTAAAATACACTATTGTCCAATTGTAGTATAAGGGAGTTTCATTTGTATGTGTATATCTCCATAGACACACACACACATATCCAGTGTTAATTTGTATGCATTGAAGCAAAACAGATCAAACTTTGGAATCATTCTAAAGGGGAGTTGAAAATATAAAATTGATCCATTTCTGTAACTTCTCAAATCACAGATGACTTCACAGGAGTTTAGAAGCTTCAGTTTATCCTTAGAGAGAGAAGTTCTTAGATTTTACTAAGGGGTCTGAACTCTCAACATTTAATCATGACATATTCTAACCTAAAAAAGGACTTTGATGTGGTTTTGAGTTGAATCCTGAAGGAGAGGTGATTCCTTGCTAAGTAGCAGTGACCAAGGGAAGGGTTTAGGTCTTCCCATACATGTTACTTTTCAAAATGCTAGTTTTGAAAAACCAAAGTGCCCAAGAGCACTCCTTCTGTTTTACTGGCCTTTCTTTTCATTTTTTAGCATGACCTCTGTTATAGAAGGTGTGGGGAGGTTACATTGGGAGGAAACACCATGCAGTGCATTTTAGAATCAGTCATTTTTATTTTTTTTCCAGACCGTTTCCAGGACTTGTGATTAACAATCGTAAGTATTTATGAGACACTGATGACAAATGCATTTTTATAACCTACCAAAATTCATTTTCTACATTGTGTCTTAGTGGCAGAGGCCCCAAGTTGTTAAGGTCTATATATAACTCTTGCCTGTGTATTTCTTATTAAGATTTCCTGACTAAACATGGATGTACAGTTAACTTGAGGGCAGGGGGAGACATTTACATTTAAACAGCATAAGATTAGCATTGACTTGATATGAAAATGCAAGACTCTGATTTTGTATTTTTCAGCTGCAGAGTCCCAAAGAAATTTAGGATCCTGATTGAGCAGCACACTTACATGAGAGCTGCTGTGTTGTAGGTTTAAATTCATCACAGTAGCAGTTAGTAAGCAAGAGCTTTCCAGTAGCTGCACAACTGTGTTCCAGTGAAAAATTCTGCATTCTGCTGAAACTATAACTTTTTAGAGAGGCAGACTGTAGTTAGCTGAAGTGCCGTGGCCAATTTGGCCCTCACAATTAAATTGTTTGGGGTAGTGGGAGGGAGAGGTATAGTTAGTATTTTGGTTGCTAAAATAATTGCGACCTGGTTGCTAGATGTAATTTAGGAGAAAAAACAAACCACAAAGACTGTCACTACAGTGTCCCTTGTGTTGTTTTCTTTATGAACCAACGTCAGATTAGAAATTCAGAGGCCAAATAGCCTGTCACAAACTGGCCTTACCCAGCTGGAGCCTTAGAACCCATTGTTTGTTCAAATACATTCAGCCACCAGTGTATTCCAGCTCCCAAGCTGAGGTCCATGCCCTGCAAGCAGGAGATGTCCTCAGCAGGATACTGTAGCCAGTGACTCCCACTGACCTGCTCACAGACCTAGGTGCACTTCTGAGGTGGCAGAGAGGTCTCTCTGCAAGGGAGAGCCTTCCAGGCAAGTAAATGTGTAATAGTATTTCCAGGGAATTCAGGCAGAAAAGAAAAAATCCATTGAGCTGTTGTCAGTTCAGCATAAGTTGTCAATGTGTATTGGGACTGGGGGAGCAGATTGGCCATGGACCACATGAGGTGTGGGCATTATCTGTGTCCACTAATTGTCATCAAAATGATCTTATACTGATGGATACCAAGGTGAACGATTGAAAGGCTCTGAGCCAACTGCTCATAAGTATTATTATTTATTCTTCATCTAAAGAACATGTGGAAACTTAAAAGTTTTGCTGCTTGAAGGCAAGACTGGGAATGTTTTTCTTGTAACAGATAAGATTGAACTGTATCTCAGTCACAGTGTTGGTGCCTTTTCATGTGAGAAGTTTCAGTATTTGCAGATTCAAACATTTTTCTTGTATTGCATGTGAACCATTTTCATTGTGAAGTAAAACAATTATCATGTTTAATCTTAGAGCTGCTAGAAGAAGCTGAAGCAGAAGCACCAGCAGCAGCCACTAGCACAGCAGTACTACCAGGTGATGCAGTGTGACACGTGTCCTTGCAGGAGGGGTGGGGTGTGCACTTCTGCATCTCACTGGCAGATATCCTTACAGTCATGTCCTAGATATAGGGTGCTCATGATGAGCCATTTCATTTTGAGAAATGAATAGCTGTTAACTTCAATAACTGTTAAACTTTAAATAACTTTAATAGCTGTTAAACATTAGTGGAAAGTGCCTCTACTTTCTTCAAGCTGTGTCATTGGTGTGTTCCTTGATTTGATTTTTACAGATGATGAGTGAGCTGGAAAGAAGGATTAGTGGGGGCAATGTGTAAAGGCAATTCAGCATCCATTTATTAATGTCTGCTTAACTCAAATGTGTGCATGTCTGCATGCACAGCCAAGTGAAGTTTGCCTGCATCGCTGGCAGAGGGGTCTGGGTGGAGTTTCTGCCTGCTGCCAAGCTCTGTAACCCCTGCTAGACTGCATCTGGGAATGCACACACATCACCTGCCTTAGTCTGTGCAGAGAACTAGCTTTGGGCTGTGAATTAACTAAAGGAAATGTTAATTTCCTTTAGTTAATGTTAAGGAAAGGAAATGTTAATTTTCCTGCCCAATCGTTGGGCAACTTAGCTTTGATCCAATACAGCTTTTAAATGTTTGTATACCTTTTAAAAATGTGTATGCTAAGTTGGTGTAGTGTGGGGAAAGCTTGTGCAATTGACTGAATGAATCATTACACAAAGAAGCTGGGAAACTAAGAGAAAACATCTGATAAACATTTTAAGAGTAAGGGACACTTCTATGATGAAAATTATTGTAAAGGAAACTGCTGGTTCCTCTGTTTCCATGTGGAGGTGTGGGAGGGAGGAGATCAGCTGCTGGTGGTTTGTGAGCTTGCTGTAGTCTGTTGGTCCTTAACATCTGCAGTGTTAAAATGGTTTTCCCAGAGCATGTTCATCTACAATCCCTGCAGACACAGTAGCAAACTCAGCATGGAATTAAAGCATCCTTCTTGTCCTCTGTTGTGCACCTCCCCACTCTGCCCCAAGTACACATACTTGCCATCAAAGACAGTGCTTGGGAGAAGTGGTGGCTCTTTCTTTAAGCTGTTCCAAATGTGGTGGATCCTGTGCAAATGGACATGATGTTGTTCTGGGACTTGGTGATATCTCTGCCACAGTGAATCATCCTTAGAAGAGAAAGTGTTACATAGTTGAATGTAATAAATGTTTGGGGATATTTTCTATTTTGTTGCAGACTATAGAAAGCTGCACAAATTTATCTCAGTCAAAGAGATCGGAGTCTGATTGTTTAAGAAAAATTAGGTGCTTTTTTGAGGGAAAACTTAATTTCCCTAATCTGACTCATCTTGTTGAAACTATATTCATATTCATTTGACTGTCTTTTTTTTTTACATTTAAGAGCCAGCTGAACCAAGCCATATAGAAGTATCTCTAGGAGGTAAGTGTCTTCAGTTACTATCAAGAAATATTTTTAAGTAGTGCTGAACAAAGTTGCATCTGTTTTTAAAGTCAGGTCAATCAAAACCAAGAAAAGGTCTTTTATTGGTTCCTGGTACATTTCTTCATTTATAGTAATATCATGCTGCATCATGTGAAAAATACTTAGCAGCAAAAAATACTATTTAAATAATTTGACAAAGGAGTTCTGCAAATTCACCAATAACTTAGGTGAGTCATGCCTATACATAGGCTCTGAGTGACTTCATATCCTGAGTGATGCATCCAGTTATTCAGTGCTGTAGTTTCCACAATTGATGCAAGTGAGTGATTGCCATCATCAGGAACTCTGAATGCCATATGGGCCTGGATACACTGTGCTGGGGGCAAGGGAGTGGAGCATTGGTGTTCTTCTAGCACTTAAACTCTGGAGAACATCCAACTTTCCTATTGTCCAAGAATATACTTGAACTGTACCCTTTTCAGATAAGAATCACAGAATCATTTAGTTTGGAAAAGCCTTCTAAAAGCATCAAGTCAAAATGTTGCCCCAGTACTGCCAAGCTCACCACTAAACATGCAAGTGCCACATCTACACACCTTTTAAATGCCTCAGCCTCAGTGACTCCAGCACTGCCCTGGGCAGCCTCTGCCAGGCCTTGACAACCCTTTTTGTGAAGAAGTGTTTTCTGGTCCATAGATATATGTAAGGGAGCTGTAGGTTTTGTATCCCCCACGTGTTTTTGCACATGGTCTTGGTGAATCAGAAATACTGGACTGACCTGAGAGTTGGGCTGTTGCTGTTGCTGTGTGCTCTGCTCCTGTAAATGCTGCCTTTGCCTCACCCCAGCCTGTCAGCAGGGCCCTGCAGGGCCACAGCTGTCTCTGCCGTGGCTCCAAGGTCACCCAGGGGCTCTGTAGTTTGCTGGGGTGCTGCCTTTGTGTCAGGTGGTCCCAGGAAGGGTTTGCTGATGTGTCTGGCAGCCAGCAGCCCTGGGATGGCAGCTGCTGTGCATCAGCACTTTTCATCTTGAGACTCTCAACTTTGGCTTATTCCCTAATCCTGCTTACATTGCCTCAAAAGAGAAAGCAGCAAATCTCTGTGCTCCTGTTCTTCTCCTGCCTTTTTCATGGAAATTCCCTTTCCAGGCTCCATTGCTTCATTCCCCCTGTCATGGCATTGAACTCTAAGGCAAGAGAACATTCTCAACCAGAATGAATGTTACAGGCTGAGTTACAGGTTCACTCCAAGGGTTTTAAGTCAGTCTCTCTTGGAGTATAGACTGACCCTGTTGCAGCAGTTAGACAGGAAGAAGGCAAATGTTAGTCACAAATGTTAGCTCAGCAGAGCGGAGCTGCAGATTTTAAGCTCATAGTTTTGAAGGCTGGAACATCAGATATCTTTATCATGCCAAAACTCAATGGGATTGTTGAAGCAAGATGGTGCAAGAGAACGACACTCATTTCTGATACTGTCATGTGGAAGAGAATCAGCTGTGGGCCTTCACTGTGATGGTTTGGAAGAGACAGAAAAGCAGAGTTATGAATTTGTCATCCAAAACTGGCTTCAGACACTGTAACTACAGAAACGTTTTTGTGAAAAGACACGCAGTGGCAAAAATCACTTCAGAACTAGGCTGGAAGGTATAAAATGGTCATGTGGTGAAACAGCCTGGCTTTGTAGTGATGAATTACTCTCGCACCAAACCTTCCAAACAACTTCAGGGGAAACCAATTTCCTTCCAACATCATATTGTCTGTAAAAAGAACAGAACCAGGCTCTGGGTCATATGGACAGTGCTACACAGACATGAGATTCCTTTGATTTACCTCCAAGCATCCTTGCAATGAATAAAACTGTATCAAAAGATGATGAATGCTTTAGCCAACATGATTTTTTTAGAAAACATATCATACTGCTTTCCTGTATGATACTGTACTTTGAAAATTAGCTAGGGTTGAAATTTATTTTGGAGAGACTGAAATAGAACAATGCAGAAATCTGTATCTAGTTGAGAGAGAAACAGTCTACTAATGCCAATTTTATTTCCATTCATTAAGAACTAGAGTGCTCTAAGATCCTAAGGTGCTTTACATTGCAGTGGAAGTGGTAATTTTCACAGAATCAGATTGCTGTGAATATGCTTTTATTTGTTATTATTAGTTTAAAGAGATAATGAATGCTTTTCATGTTTTTATGAATTTTTACTTAAGTACAACAGTAACAAAATTGGTGGGGAAGTTCCACTTTTTTCATTCACTACTACTTTTTTACAGTTAACACAGAAACAGAAGAAAAGTTTCAACTAAAGCATGAGCCAGACCTGATGTCATAGACCTCATCAATACTGGGTAAAATAATTTAGTGTTTCTTGAAGTCAACACCGGTCAAGGAATAATATTTTTATGTTTTTCGCTGGGGAAAGGAGAGATGAAGTGTAATACTGAATGTCAGAAGGTGCCAGTACTTTAGTTGGGAATTATTCTATGTGTCTCAGCTCCCACATATAAGATGTCAGATGTTTTGCACTTTCTTATCCAAATACAATATAAAGCACATTGTTCAAATTTGTGAGGAAGTCCTAGAAAAATGTGGCCTAAAATGTGTGATGGTAATCATAAACCTCAGAAGCAGAGCAAGTGAAAGCTGAGGGAATTGGTGTTTATGAACAGCTCTGACATAGTTGTGTGAAAAAGCATTATTATTCTTGGTAATGCACATACATCTCCAAATTGTAATTGAGCAGGAAAGCTCTTCACTATGATTGCAATATTGTCTGAGCTTGGGACACTCAGTAAAGCTATTAACTGTGATGACAAATTAACCTCCTTTAAAAGTTTTCTTTATTTTCTTTTCATAAATTAAACTTTTATGAAAAGCCTAGTTTAATTTACAATGCAAATTACAAATGCAATTACAAATGTCCAAATCTTTCTCTTACTCTATTTTTAACGTCACTTGTTCCTAAAAATTATGTTTTTGTGGTGGTGGAGAGCAATGTTAGCAATGCTGTCGTATCACCAAATCCAAAATGCCGACCCACGTGGTTTGGAGTCTCTGTGCTTCATACAAAGAACGTGGGAGTACTTCTTCCCATTTCAGTTTTTTGGTAAGACTGAACCTCAAGTATCTTCCTCATTATACAGTGTTTGATTGGTGTAAAGGTAAATGAAGCATTGGCTTGGGGAGCCTGTGGGTTTCTTTCCTGGCACCATTTCAGTTTTTGGAGCCCGGGGACAGCCTTGGCCCTCCACTGGTACAGCTGAACACAGCCCAGGACAATGAAGTGATGTGGTGGAAAGCTGCAGGAGCTGACAAAGCAGCATCCCAGCTGTCTGTGCCCTGGGCACTACAGGCACAGCAGTGGTGCTCTTGTTCAGGCAGTGAAGTCTGTGTTGGAGGTATTTGTCATCAAAGTGGCAGGATAAAATATACTAAAGGACAAACTGATTCGTCATGGGACACACTGCAGGCAGTGAGATATAAAAAACCATCTCACTTGTCTATTAAAGGTCACAAAAATGTTGTCTGAGCAATGGCTGCACAATTTGATCCTGCAGGAGTTCAGAGTTTTGGATGCTTTAGGCCATCTGCTGAATTTATACTAAAATAAATATTTGTTCTAAATTCTGACAAGAGACCACTAGAGCACACTTTTAATCTCATATTTATTGAGAGCAATATTCAGTTTCTGCATGCTTGCTGAACCTAGGCCTGAAGAACAGGAAAACAGAATACAAACTGCTCATAGTTGTAATAAGGCACAAGGCTTCAATGAAACTAACTTAATTTTTTTAATTTCTCTTACCTAGTCAGAAGCTGCCCCTTCTGAGAGGAGCCTGCTCGGCCTGTCTAGAGCTGTGTAATATAACTGTATAAGAGAAGTATCTTCTATACAAACCCTTTTGTACTATTATATAGAAATGTCTACTTTTTCAGCAGTTCTGTGAATTGACCTAATAATGACTGTAGATTTGGATTGTCTGAGTTTACTTTGGAATATATTTTAACAAATAAATTTGATGCAGCGGTGCTGGGGAGATGGCAGGGATTATAATCAACAGGGATTTAGCTCAGGCTGTCTGTACTTTCCAATAAAGCTGAATTTCACTGTACCTGAATGCATCCTAACTTTTGTAATGAAAAATTCCTGCAGAGTTCAGTTTGTTTACTTTGAAGAAAAAATCCTCTACATTAATTTTCAGCTATTACTTTATTGTCTTGTTGGACAACAGTATCTGTATATTTGAGTTATTTTTCCTATTATATCTATCACAATTAATATGTTTTTCCTAAATAAAAGATTAAATTATCCACTTGACGGTTAGCGTGCATTAATGAGGTAGACTGTGAAATGGTCAATATTCCACTGTGTGGATTAGGAACCAACTGAAATTAAACCTCACATAGTTTGTTCTGTTAGTTCAAGGTAGTAAGTACATGTTATAACAGTTTACATATGATGGGTTTGGTCTTACAGTCCTGCCATAGGCAGTAGTTGTGTGGGCTTGTGTGAGAGCTTTTCTGCTGAAGGCTGTGAGGAAGCTCTTCTGTTCACCTAGAACTAGTTATGGAAACTTGCTACAACCTCCTCTAAGTTCTATTATGTCAAAAACTCTGAATATCCTGTGAATATAATAATTAAATTAAGTCCCCTGTGGTCCTGGTTATGGGCCACAACATGTAAAAACATTTTTTTTTGTCAAATTTCATAAACCGTAGATGTACAGTTCTGTCTATATGATAATCTCTAAAAATGCAGATTATTTGCAAAGGTTTCTATTTTACTGGCATGAATTTGAGATGATTGCATTATGCACAAATGGTAAATTGTGTTCCCTGATGAAGAAATAAAGACCTTTCTGATGTTTTTCAAGACTGTCCATGCAGTTATGTCTTTTACAGCAAATCAAGTCCTAGCAGTAATTCTGTAGTCAGGTAGATAGAACATGCTGCAGCTTGGTTATGTCCTGCCAGCAAAGAAGTAAGGTCCAGTCTGCAATCCAGCTCTGGGTGGGGGAGGTGATTGGACCTGCAAGGAAAATTTTGAAGCCTTAAATTCAATTGTGTGCAGTTTCTGTTCCATGGGAGCAACCTGAAATTCAGCAGGTAAATTCAGAGCAGCACATTTTTGTCATTATGGAGATAAGGGAGACCCTATAGGACATCTGCTTGTGTTTCACAACATGCAGATCTAGGTGCTCCCACTTGAATACTGGGACCTTGTGCTGGTGATGTCAGCAGGGGCAGCTCCATGCTGAGGCATTTTGAAAAAGCTCATCCTGGTCCTACCTTCCTTCTCTCCAGAGAGGAGCTGGTGGTGACTGGTGCCTTGCTGCCTTCCTGCCTCAGCAGCCAGCCATTCCCAGCCCCATGGAATGAGTCCACCTGCTGAACCTACCTGTTATCCCAGCCACATGGGCACTGCCCACATTGTAACCACCAGCACATTTACCTGCTGCTCACTTGAACAGACATGCTGAGCCAATGAACCTCCAGCAGTAGTTCAGGACCAGGTTTCACACTTGCTTCTGGACATGTTTAGAATGGGGAAATTACATAATGCAGCTTTCCCCAGATTTCAGCTGGCCTGACTTCCCCTTCTGAAGAAGCAGGATGGTTCATCCCTTCTTTGCTCTCTTGAGGAGGCACTTCCAGCACAGCTGTCTGTTGCTGCTGTTAGTGCTCACTCAAAATGAGGGCAGTGTCACAGCAAGGGAACTGGGAAAATAAATAATTCCAGGGTATTGCCTTGTCAAGTGTGTAACAGCAGAGTGGCTGTACTGAAACTCTATATGCAGGAGCTGAAAGAAAAATTAAGTGAAAGTGTTTTGCTGAAAGGACTGGAGTTTTTACACGGTGGGCATTGTGAATTTTGCTGCTGGGTGGGCAGTACTGCTGATGGGTTGGCACTCAGTGCTGAAGGCTCTTTGGTTTCAGACATTTTGGGTTATATCCAGGTGAGAGAAATTAGTCTGACAAAATAATTACACCAGTATTTTTACCTTCCAAATATCAATTCAATATTAAGAAATTACCTACAGTCCTAACAGTTAGCAGACTTTTAAGATGTTGACCATGTATAAAAATCTCATTAATTTTCAATCCAGTAGTACATGAGATAGGCCCTAAAAAGCTGTAGCTATACTAATAAATAAATGACTGAATAAATTAAATTACAATAACTTACAAGAGCTCTGAGTAGTTTTTGTGCCAGCAGGGAAGGTTTGTGGTGATGAAGGAGCAGACAAGTATTTACTTCCCATGTTTTACTGAACTTTAAAAGCCTGTCCTGTGCAGTGGACTGGCTCCTTTCTCTTAAATGGGAATTTTGCATGCAAGTAGTGTAGGATTCAGGGTGTCTGTGGTGGAACTGGGCATCCCTTGGATATGGCACCCTGGCTTTTCTCACAGCATACCCACCAGCTGAGGTCCAGTGTCTCTGTGATGCAGTTGCTGGCCAGTGTTTTTCTCTTGGGAGTTGAATTTTTCCACATATAAAATTTGAACCTCCTCTTCTTTGTTTCTTTTCGTGTGTGTCCCGTCAGTGACCCACAGCCAGGGAAGAGGGCAGGCTCTCATTTCTGTGACTGTGTAACAGCTCTGTGCAATCAGTGACAAAACAAAGGCCTCCCTTGGCTCTGTAATGAATTAAGCTGAAATTTAAACTACCAAAAAATCAAAAATTTCATTTTGAACAAAGATTAGGGTGGCATTCCTTCCATCTGCTCTTATATCCTGAGAGGTTTTGGTACTAGTTTTGGGTGGAGCAGTGCCAAAAAGAGGACAGTCCATTTGCCTAAGAAACTCTTAGTCTCCAACACTACAACTGCCTTGACTGAAACCCATCCTCTGAAATCCTGTGTTGCTGTTCCCACTCCACAGCAGCGGGGCCTTGCTGAGAGCACTGCTGCCAGCTTCGGCTGGAGGACTTGGATCTTCTCCATCTCTCTCAAAATGGGATCCTGTGTTCAGACCCCAGCCTTGTTTCCAAAACCATGAATCAGTTCATTAACTCAATAAACTTACATGGTGGTTTGACACTGGCCAGACACCAGGCACCCAAAAAAGTCACTTACTTGCCCTCCCCTGCCACAGCTGGGCAGAAGAGAAAGAAAATTTAATGAAGGCTTCATGAGTTGAGGTAAGGACTGGGAGAGAACAATCCAGTGTTGTAGTGTGTTGTTTGGTTTTGTTGGAGTTGGTATGTTCCGTTTCCCCCAATTATTAAAGTGGTTCGGTCTTGGGATCCTCCTCCCTCCCCGGTTAGTCCCTCCCCAAGTACAGAGCTGTCTGTTTGTTGTCTCCTCCCCTCTTGCCATGGATTTTCCTGTTAACCACCCCCTGAACTCCTGTCCATCACCCACTGACTCCTCCTCTTATTCCAGAAAGTTCTCCATTCAGTGGGTGATTGGACCAGAAACACAGCTCCTCCCTATTCCATCCCTTATTAGCTAGCCGGTGTGTCCTCATGAGTACGCTCGCTCCTAAGTTCTCCCTCATTGGTTGTTGTATTGTCCCCACCCAGCTGTTGAACCCCTTTATATGCTATTGTATCCCCTTGCTCCCAGTCTTCTCTCGGCTGGCTCTCCTGGAGGTAATAAAAGCTGTGGATTTCACCCCCAAGAGGAGTCCCTCTTTTCTTCATTCCTTCGCCTTCCTTGCTGATCACCGCTGCTTCCTGTCGAGGCGCTCCCCGGACGCCCCGGCGCGTTTGGGAAGTGCCCCCGCTGCTGGCTGCCGTGCCTCAGCTCGGCCGGTGGTCTCCTTCCCTGCCGGGGGGAGTAGAGGATTTCTAGCAGCAGCTCAGCACTCCAAGGGCAAACCAGACTTGGCTTAGAGATACAAAGTGAATTTGTTACTAACTAAATCAGAGGACAATAATGAGAAGTAAAGTAAGTCCTTAAACCACCTTTTTGGCTCTAACCCTTCCGTCCTTCGCACCAACAGCGCAGGGAGACAGGGCAAGAGGGTTTGGGGCAGTTCATCACCTGAGATCATTTCTGCTGCTCAGGGAGAGGAGTCCTGCCCCTGTGAGACCATGGGGTCCCTCCCATGGGCGAGACAGTTCTTCGTGAACTTCTCTAGTGTGGTTCCAATTTCACAAGCAGCACTCCTTCCAAAACTGCTGCGACATGGGTTTCTCTTCCCACAGGGTGCAGTCCTCCAAAGACAGGCTGCTCCAGCCTGGAAGCAGGGCCCTCTCCTCTGGGTCTTCCACTGGATCACAGCCTCCTCCAGGCATCCACCTGCATGGGCACCTCCCTCACGGGCTGTGGGTGGATCTGTGCATCCCCTGTGGATCCCCATGGGCTGTGGGTGGATCTCTGCATCCCCTGTGGATCCCCAGGGGCTGCAGGGGCACAGCTGCTTCCCCATGGTCTCACAATGGCCTGCAGAGGAGTCCTGGCTCCAGCACCTGGAGCACCTCCTCTCCCTCCTTCCCCACTGGCCCTGGTCTCCAGGTTTTTTCCTTCACATGTCCTCTTCTTTGTCTAGGAAAAGCTGTGCATGCCCCACTTTGTTTTGGTTTTCTTCTTAAATATGTTATCACAGAGGTGTTACCACCATCTCTACTTGGCCCAGGCTTGGCCAGCAGCATGTCCATCCTCAGAGCCATCAGGGCTTGGCTCTGCTGGACATCTGGCAGCTTCGAGCAGAAGCCAGCTCTGGAGCCCCCCTGCTACCGAAAACCAGACTGTGCAAAACTGAAAACTCGGCTTGTTCAGATGGGATGTTTCTCTGCTGAGAATTTTCTTCTAAAATCTTGTTTCTTGACATGTATTAGACATGTGAGACATTTGATGGAACACTCAGCAGTGCATCACACAGAGTTACAGGTGGTGTTTCACTGTGAACTAATCCTTCATGGACAGTGGCATCTAAAACCTTTCATTTCTTTCATCACAAGATGAGGAATGAGGAAACAGGAAGGAACTATGAATTAAGTGGTTTCCAGAAATGTACTGTCTGTAATGCAGTTTAAATTTAGTACAAACAATTTTAATTATGAAAGTAGCTGTTACGACAAAGTTTATGGTGTTCTGCATAAGCAGCAGTTATCTGGTGACTAACAGAGCAGAATCCAAACAGCCCTGGATGGATCTTTTTTAATATTTGTGGTTCTGTAATATGCAAGGAACTTCCCTTGCCTATAGGGAAGTCCCCCTGATAAAATAGTAAGAAAACAAATGTAAATGACCATTTACTATTGCACAGCTGCAAGTACCACACCCAAGTTCCAGGGGAGGGCTACAGTTAGTATTTGATGTTTTTAATGTGGCCAGAGCAAGCTTTTGTCTTTACAAGCTAACAAGGGCATTGGGCTGTTCCTGTGCCAGGGCTTCCTGCTGCTGCTCAGTGGGGAGAGCCCCTGTCAGCTCTGCTGCGGTTTGGGGCTGCTGCCTGCCAGGGTCAGGGGACAGGGGTGCTACCTCTGCCTGAGGCATCTCTGCTCCTGGCTGAGTGTGGGCTGGGTTTGCTCTAACACCCAGCTCGTGGCAGTGAGCTGGCCTGCTGGGGACATTGGCTGCACTGGGGCACAGGTTTCCAGAGGGGATGGAGCTGAGTGTTCACAGCTGGCTGGAGCTGGGCTCCTCCAAGGATCCTGTGGAGAGCAGGGCTCTGCCAGGTGACTGCCCACCTCTGCTGCCCACTGTCATTGAGGGTGCCCGTGGTGGGGACAGAAGCGCTCCTGGGTACACCTTTGCTTTCAAGCAGTGTGGAATTGATCCCTGCAGCTCTCACATCCCTTCAGGTCTTTCTGCTCAGGGCTGAGGATGGAGAAGGAGGAGGACATGAATGCAGAGGGTGCACTGGCATTTCAGAACGGCTTAGCAGGGGACTCTCCTGCTCTCCCAGTGGGACACAGGGGTCTATCTCCAGCCCACTCTGGGGTTTCCCTGTGCCTGGGGTCCTCTCCCATTCAGCCCTGTGCCCATGTAAGGTGGTGAGCAGGGCTGGGACTGACTCAGGTCCTCGGGGGCTCCTCAAGGGAACCTTTTGGTGGCAGATTTTGAAGAAGCTGCAAGTGACTGAAGGGAAATGGTGATGCAAGGGGAGGGTCTCTTGCACACTGAGCCCGTGGCTGCCCATCCTGGCTGTGCTGTCCCAGATTCCCCACCTGCCAATCCCACACACAGAAGACAGTACTGCCATTCCTGGGGCTCAGGTAGTGCATTACATGCTTCATTCAGCCGTTCCAGCTCTGATAGAGAGGGTGAAGGCACCTCTGCCTGTCATATCCAATATCCATATCCAAATCCATTGACAGCCTCTGGCTGTAATAACCTCTGCCTGAGGCATCTCTGCTCCTGGCTGAGTGTGGGCTGGGTTTGCTCTAACACCCAGCTCGTGGCAGTGAGCTGGCCTGCTGGGGACATTGGCTGCACTGGGGCACAGGTTTCCAGAGGGGATGGAGCTGAGTGTTCACAGCTGGCTGGAGCTGGGCTCCTCCAAGGATCCTGTGGAGAGCAGGGCTCTGCCAGGTGACTGCCCACCTCTGCTGCCCACTGTCATTGAGGGTGCCCGTGGTGGGGACAGAAGCGCTCCTGGGTACACCTTTGCTTTCAAGCAGTGTGGAATTGATCCCTGCAGCTCTCACATCCCTTCAGGTCTTTCTGCTCAGGGCTGAGGATGGAGAAGGAGGAGGACATGAATGCAGAGGGTGCACTGGCATTTCAGAACGGCTTAGCAGGGGACTCTCCTGCTCTCCCAGTGGGACACAGGGGTCTATCTCCAGCCCACTCTGGGGTTTCCCTGTGCCTGGGGTCCTCTCCCATTCAGCCCTGTGCCCATGTAAGGTGGTGAGCAGGGCTGGGACTGACTCAGGTCCTCGGGGGCTCCTCAAGGGAACCTTTTGGTGGCAGATTTTGAAGAAGCTGCAAGTGACTGAAGGGAAATGGTGATGCAAGGGGAGGGTCTCTTGCACACTGAGCCCGTGGCTGCCCATCCTGGCTGTGCTGTCCCAGATTCCCCACCTGCCAATCCCACACACAGAAGACAGTACTGCCATTCCTGGGGCTCAGGTAGTGCATTACATGCTTCATTCAGCCGTTCCAGCTCTGATAGAGGGTGAAGGCACCTCTGCCTGTCATATCCAATATCCATATCCATTGACAGCCTCTGGCTGTCATGTCCAATATCCATATCCATATCCATTGTCCTTGACCCTCTGCTGCAATGCCCTGTGCCATCATGGGGCAACATCAGCAGTCAGGGGAGTCCTTTGGATATCAGGGCAGCCAGCCTGGCCCTCACCCTTCACTGCCCTCTGATTCCAGAGGTCCCTCCAGGTTTTCCCCGAGGCCTCCCAGCTCACCTCCTCCCCAGCCCGGAGCCACTGGAGGGGCTGGGCTGGGCTGGGCTGGGAAGCACCGGCTCGTAACAAACCACAGCGAGTGAACAATTACGGGTGCGATTGCGGCGGCAGTTCCGCCTCCCCGGGGCTTTAAGACCAAGCGGAGCTGAGCGAGGGCAGAGGGGACGGGACAGCCCGGACAGGCAGGAGCAGGGTCCGGAGCAGAGCACCGCGGGCAGGAGCAGAATGGGGGACGCCTTCATCCGGCACATCGAACTGCTGGGCTACGAGAAAAGGTTTTTCCCCAGCCAGCACTATGTGAGTACTCAGCAGCGTTCTGGCATGTGAGGACTGGCCAGGGTAAAAACCGTGGCCAACAAATGTCCTGAGGTAAATGTGACTGAGAGCCTAAACGCTTCCTTTTAAGGGGGTCATGGCTGTTAACATCAGCTGCAGGCAGCCGGAGACTAAACTGTCCTGAACACACAAGATTTCAGGCACTTCCTTTGCAAGCCACTGGCTACTTTGCAGTCTTGGAAAGGGCTTTTTCCTCTTTGTTTCCCCCCACCTGCGTGGTTCTGTCCCCTCTCCGACCATTCCAACTCCCCTAGTGACCAGTTTATTTGCTGGCAGGGAGAACTACTTGCATTGGGATGGTGGAAGGAAAACATTCAATTTTATCTGAAGCTGGACCATCCACAGGGCTCCCTGGGCACAGTGGGGAGTGGTGTCCCACTTGCCTGCAAAACTGCAGCCTCTGCTTTGCTCCTCAGGTCTACATGTTCCTGGTGAAGTGGAATGACCTCTCCGAAAAGGTCGTCTACCGCCGCTTTACTGAGATATATGAGTTCCACGTGAGTCCTCCCAGGACACATAGCCTTGGGGTGGGGAAAAGGGAGGGTGAATGCCATCTGAAATTGCCTCAAAGCAAACCTAGTTCAAAAGAGGCTCCTGGGTCCAGTTCTTCAATCTCTTTTGCCCCTTGAAGGTGGGAGCCAATGGCTCTGTGTCCCTGGGCACACAGTGCCGAGCTGTGGGATCCAGCCAAGACATGCTGGTGGCAGCAGGGCGAGCACCAGGAAAGAAGTCAAGCTGGGGGCAGAGGAGTGGGTGTCACAGCGTGCTACCCTGGTGCCATCCTCACTGTTGTGCCTGGCTCTGCTCTGCAGAAAGCGCTGAAGGAGATGTTCCCCATTGAATCCGGGGACATCAACATAGAGAACCGGATCATCCCGCACTTGCCAGGTGAGGGGCAAGCCCCATGGCTGGGGGGTGAAGAGAAATTGCAGCTAGCTGGGAAATTCCCTGGTGGGTTGAGCTGTGTTGGCTGCCTCCCAGTCAGGTGGGTGGTGCAGTATTTCCTGTACACCAGGCTTGAAATCAAAACCCCAGTAAAATCTGAGCAGTGGCAGTGGTTCTTCCCAACACTCAGCAGCCCTGCAGACCCTGTCCTTGCTCTCTGAAGGCACCCCAGAGGCACGTCCAGAAGAATCAGCTGTGACCCCTATGACCCCTGGCTGGTACAAAGTGTCTGGCTTTGGGGAGGCTGAACTGAGTGGAGCTGAGCTGAGCCCTGTGTTGGTGACACCATCACTGGTGTTCGCTTAATGCCCTTAGGGCAACACAGATACTTTGTAGGAGGAAGCAATGCAATATGTCTTCAATGACAGAGAATGAACTCCTGATCCGAACAGCTGACACTGTCTCCGAGCAAGGAGATGTTAGAAAGCATGTTAGAAAACTTCCCCATTTTATTTAATTTCCTGCTTTAAAGGAAGCAGAAGGGAGTCTGAAAAAGAGCTGCAGTTGTGGTCAACATCTCTGGAGGAGGAGTAAGCCTGCACCATGGAGTGCCAGTCTGGGGAGGCTCCACTGCAGCTGGACTGACACCAACCACTGTGCTGGGCCTCTTTCTTCACGCTGCCCCCCACCGTGCTGGGGCTGGTCAAAGCATCCTTATTCCATTTGGGGAACTGAGAGCACCGAGGACCAGACAGGTGTCAGACTGCTGGGGGACATGGGGTGCCACTGACCACACAAAGCACCTCCCATCATGCGGTTCAAGACTGCTCAGGGTTGGGATTGCCAGCAGTATTTTAGAGCTCTGGAGTCAAGAGCACCATAATCAGGGGGGTGGGAGGATAAACATATCTCCTCTGACTGCAGGCTCGTCCCCTGAGCCCCTCTTGGTGCCCTGGTGCATCTGCTGTATTTGTGGCCCAGCAGTTGGGCTTAGTCTGAACACACATGTAGGACTTAACCTAAAAATGAAATAGGGTCAAACAGGATCATTGCTGGGCTTGCATGAGCTGTGCTCCTACAAAGCTTCACCTTATTGGCACAATGCAGCCATGCAGCACCTTGGGGCCAGACCCACTTGTTTGCCAGGCAAAATTAATGATTCAGAGCAGTGTGCTGGGAAACTATTAAAAATAAGGCATTCTGTCTGCTTTTTCTGAGCCCTTTTTCCTCTCCCCCAGCCCCAAAGTGGTTTGATGGGCAGCGCTCAACTGAGAACAGGCAGGGCACACTGGCTGAGTACTGCTACACACTGGTGAACCTGCCCCACAAGATCTCCCGGTGCCTGCATGTGGTCAACTTCTTCAAAGTCCGTCATGATGACATGAACCCTGTCACAGACAGCCAGTGAGTCCAGCTGCCTGCTATTTTGAGGGAAATCCTGCGTTCCTGGCCTTGGATGCTGGCAGTAGCCTGCAGGGAGTGTGCTGATGGATAGGGCTAGTTGGCATTGAGCTGCCTTTGCTCTGACCTGTCTAGGATCAAGAAGCCTGAGGTCTTCCTCCTGACAAAGGATTCCAAGAAAAACCTCACTGGTAAGAGGTCTCAGAGGGCTGCAAGTGGCTGCCTCAGCAGCAGCAAAGCCTGCTGGGGAGAGAGGATGTCATTCCATGGCATATACCCTCACTAAGAACATGGTTGCTATGCCAGAGCTGCAGCTGTGGGAAGCCAAATCCTTAGGGGAGGAATGAGTTATTGTCCTGAAATCCAGTTGGTTTGGGGTTGAAAGAGGCTGGGAGGGCACTTTGGGCTGTCCTGGGGCTGCTTTTGGCCTGCCTGGAATAGGATGTTTCTGGGTTGGGGGCTGGAAGAGGGGACATCTATCACTTCTCTCATGCAGACATCACGGGCCCCATTGTCCTGCAAACGTACCGAGCCATCGCTGACTATGAGAAGAGCTCCACGTCTGAGATGGCTCTCAAGGCTGGGGACATGGTGGATGTTGTGGAGAAGAGTGAGAATGGTATGTGTCCATCCCCCTGGAGAGCCCCTGAGGGCCAGTGCACTCCCTTCCACAATTTCAGCAGGAATGAGTACTGCCCTTGCATCTTGTGTCCAAACACAGCATGTGAGCTAGTTATGGCAGTGAAGGCTGAGGGTGAGGGGCAGTTCTAGAAAACTGGGCAATATCCTGGCCATGCCTCAGCCTGTCTTCCTGCCCAGCAGGAGCACAATGAATTGGTCAAGTTCTCTGGTTGCACCATGTCAACAGAGACTGGCCCCAGCACTGTCCCTTTGGTCCAGGACAAGGAGGTGCCTACACCTGCCCTGGCCAGGACAGACCTGGTGCCAGTCCCCACTACACTCTCTGTTCCTGCCCATGGTTGCTTTCTTTGCAGGCTGGTGGTTTTGTCAATTGAAGAATAAACGAGGCTGGGTACCTGCTGCCTATCTGGAGCCACTGGATGGTCCCGATGAGTCTGAAGAGCAGGAACCTAACTATGCAGGTAAAATACTGGGGTGACCAGGGTGTGTGCGTGTGTCAGAGCACAGCCTGCTGCAGCTCTCCACTGTGACAGCTGCAAAGCTGGGCAATTCAGACTGAGCAGGATCACTGGGCAGGAAGATGCTGCTGTAGGAACTGCCAGGAGGGATAAATCTCATGGCTTTGTGCCTCAGTGTCAGCCTTGGAAGCTTCCCATGATCTGCAACTCAGCATTAGATTTGTGTTTTGGCTGATCTTTACCCAGTGGCCATGCTGAGCTGGCTGGGTGAAGGCTGAGGTGCTGGGTTAGCAGAACAGCATGGTGCAGCATCCAAATCAGGCACGGGCATTCACAGTGCTTCACCTCAGGCCTGGCCCTGCTCCCTGTCCCCTGCACTGCCCTGCCATGACAGCAGGGCTTTATCATGTGGAACAGAGGAAGGACCCTGCGGACTTGTGCCAATTGCTCAACAGGCTTCAGCTTTGAGGGTTTCACAACACTGGAAAAGGCTCTATTAAGCCTGCAGGGAGGGTGCTGATGGATAGGGCTGGTTGGCATTGAGCTGCCTTTGCTCTGACCTGTCTAGGATCAAGAAGCCTGAGGTCTTCCTCCTGACAAAGGATTCCAAGAAAAGCCTCACTGGTAAGAGGTCTCAGAGGGCTGCAAGTGGCTGCCTCAGCAGCAGCAAAGCCTGCTGGGGAGAGAGGATGTCATTCCATGGCATATACCCTCACTAAGAACATGGTTGCTATGCCAGAGCTGCAGCTGTGGGAAGCCAAATCCTTAGGGGAGGAATGAGTTATTGTCCTGAAATCCAGTTGGTTTGGGGTTGAAAGAGGCTGGGAGGGCACTTTGGGCTGTCCTGGGGCTGCTTTTGGCCTGCCTGGAATAGGATGTTTCTGGGTTGGGGGCTGGAAGAGGGGACATCTATCACTTCTCTCATGCAGACATCACGGGCCCCATTGTCCTGCAAACGTACCGAGCCATCGCTGACTATGAGAAGAGCTCCACGTCTGAGATGGCTCTCAAGGCTGGGGACATGGTGGATGTTGTGGAGAAGAGTGAGAATGGTATGTGTCCATCCCCCTGGAGAGCCCCTGAGGGCCAGTGCACTCCCTTCCACAATTTCAGCAGGAATGAGTACTGCCCTTGCATCTTGTGTCCAAACACAGCATGTGAGCTAGTTATGGCAGTGAAGGCTGAGGGGGAGGGGCAGTTCTAGAAAACTGGGCAATATCCTGGCCATGCCTCAGCCTGTCTTCCTGCCCAGCAGGAGCACAATGAATTGGTCAAGTTCTCTGGTTGCACCATGTCAACAGAGACTGGCCCCAGCACTGTCCCTTTGGTCCAGGACAAGGAGGTGCCTACACCTGCCCTGGCCAGGACAGACCTGGTGCCAGTCCCCACTACACTCTCTGCTCCTGCCCATGGTTGCTTTCTTTGCAGGCTGGTGGTTTTGTCAATTGAAGAATAAACGAGGCTGGGTACCTGCTGCCTATCTGGAGCCACTGGATGGTCCCGATGAGTCTGAAGAGCAGGAGCCTAACTATGCAGGTAAAATATTGGGGTGACCAGGGTGTGTGTGTGTGTCAGAGCACTGCAGCTCTCCCACTGTGATGGCTGCAAAGCTGGGCAATTCAGACTGAGCAGGATCACTGGGCAGGAAGATGCTGCTGTAGGAACTGCCAGGAGGGATAAATCTCATGGCTTGGTGCCTCAGTGTCAGCCTTGGAAGCTTCCCATGATCTGCAACTCGGCATTAGATTTGTGTTTTGGCTGATCTTTACCCAGTGGCCATGCTGAGCTGGCTGGGTGAAGGCTGAGGTGCTGGGTTAGCAGAACAGCATGGTGCAGCATCCAAATCAGGCACGGGCATTCACAGTGCTTCACCTCAGGCCTGGCCCTGCTCCCTGTCCCCTGCACTGCCCTGCCATGACAGCAGGGCTTTATCATGTGGAACAGAGGAAGGACCCTGCGGACTTGTGCCAATTGCTCAACAGGCTTCAGCTTTGAGGGTTTCACAACACTGGAAAAGGCTCTATTAGCACAACACTTCCTCATTTTACCACTTGAATTCTGAACACACTTTTGAGCAGAATAGGAGTGCTTCCTCTGCACCCAAAAGCTTTCTTCTGGAGAGATGGTGAAGGGGCTGGGATGAGCCATGGGTAATGACAAGACTGGGGGAAGTCTGAATTCAAACCTGAAGCACCCTGAGTCTTGCCTAAAATGTAGGGTGCCTCCTAATGCTCTGGTGCCTCCTCTTCTCAGTGGCTGGGGAGGTTCAGCCCCCATCCCTGAGGTGTCAGCACATGATCCACCATCCCCATTTCATGTGTAGGTGAGGCGTACGTGGTCCAGAAAAGCTACACTGCTGTGGAAGAGGATGAGCTGACCCTCAAGGAGGGTGATACCATTGAAGTCATCCACAAGCTCCTTGATGGCTGGTGGGTGATCAGGTGAGATGCCATGAACAGGTCAGGCGAGCAACACTCAGGCAAAGGGAAGGGACATCCATGGTGCTCCACGTCAGGGCTCTGAAAGCCATGGTGTCTTTGGTGCCACTGCCCAGCACTTCCTTTTGCAGGGCTGCTCCTCACAGTCTGTTCTTTGCCAAATTTTAAACATTTCAGCTGGAAATTCCTCTCCTGAGGGCTTCAGAAATATCCAAGAAGGAGGCAGATGGAAAAGAAACCATGCATCTGTTATTTTGTCTCTAATTGTTCTGGCACATTTTGCTTTGCAAAACCTCAACTTTCATCCCAGCTGCAAAGAATATTCGAGGTAACATGGCACCAGTAAGGGACAGGCCTGAACCGTGAGTCATGGAAGGTGTGAGTTGGAAGAGTTCAAGGCCAGGTTGGACGGGGCTTGGAAAAGTACTTCCCCTATTCTAGGGGAAGGTGTCCCTGCCTGTGGCATGGTGTTGGAATGAGGTCCCAATTCATTCTGGGACTCCATGACCACACACAAGAATGATCAAATCTCTCTCCTGGACTGAGGAGGTGGTTGCAGAGCCATGACTGCAAGTGATGTTCCTTTGTGTTGCACTGCAGGAAGGATGAAACCACAGGTTATTACCCCTCCATGTACCTGCAGAAAGCTGGGGAGGTGAACACCTCTGTGAAGAGTGTGCTGAGGAACCGGGGTGCTCCTCCACGGAGGTAGGAGAAGCTCTGTGCAGAGGGCAGAACATCTCCCCGTTCCTTGAGGGAGATGAAATTAAACCAGGCAGGGTGTTGTGGTGTCACCTGCTTGCCCTGTCTGTGAGGAACTACCTGGAGAAATACAAGCAGGACACAGACAGAGCAGGGCTGTCCTCCCACCAGCTCTGTGCTCCCCAGCTACCACAGGCACCCCAGCATTGTTGGTGCAGGGCTCCAAGATCCTTGCTCAACAGGTCCACCCGTCAGGTGTATTTCTCCTTGTCCTTCTGCAAAGTTTCTTTTCTGGGCTAATCTTGTTTAATTTTCAAATTGGTCATTTTCTTGCTTCAGTGTGTGTGCGGACTTGTGCCAATTGCTCAACAGGCTTCAGCTTTGAGGGTTTCACAACACTGGAAAAGGCTCTATTAGCACAACACTTCCTTATTTTACCACTTGAATTCTGAACACACTTTTGAGCAGAATAGGAGTGCTTCCTCTGCACCCAAAAGCTTTCTTCTGGAGAGATGGTGAAGGGGCTGGGATGAGCCATGGGTAATGACAAGACTGGGGGAAGTCTGAATTCAAACCTGAAGCACCCTGAGTCTTGCCTAAAATGTAGGGTGCCTCCTAATGCTCTGGTGCCTCCTCTTCTCAGTGGCTGGGGAGGTTCAGCCCCCATCCCTGAGGTGTCAGCACATGATCCACCATCCCCATTTCATGTGTAGGTGAGGCGTACGTGGTCCAGAAAAGCTACACTGCTGTGGAAGAGGATGAGCTGACCCTCAAGGAGGGTGATACCATTGAAGTCATCCACAAGCTCCTTGATGGCTGGTGGGTGATCAGGTGAGATGCCATGAACAGGTCAGGCGAGCAACACTCAGGCAAAGGGAAGGGACATCCATGGTGCTCCACGTCAGGGCTCTGAAAGCCATGGTGTCTTTGGTGCCACTGCCCAGCACTTCCTTTTGCAGGGCTGCTCCTCACAGTCTGTTCTTTGCCAAATTTTAAACATTTCAGCTGGAAATTCCTCTCCTGAGGGCTTCAGAAATATCCAAGAAGGAGGCAGATGGAAAAGAAACCATGCATCTGTTATTTTGTCTCTAATTGTTCTGGCACATTTTGCTTTGCAAAACCTCAACTTTCATCCCAGCTGCAAAGAATATTCGAGGTAACATGGCACCAGTAAGGGACAGGCCTGAACCGTGAGTCATGGAAGGTGTGAGTTGGAAGAGTTCAAGGCCAGGTTGGACGGGGCTTGGAAAAGTACTTCCCCTATTCTAGGGGAAGGTGTCCCTGCCTGTGGCATGGTGTTGGAATGAGGTCCCAATTCATTCTGGGACTCCATGACCACACACAAGAATGATCAAATCTCTCTCCTGGACTGAGGAGGTGGTTGCAGAGCCATGACTGCAAGTGATGTTCCTTTGTGTTGCACTGCAGGAAGGATGAAACCACAGGTTATTACCCCTCCATGTACCTGCAGAAAGCTGGGGAGGTGAACACCTCTGTGAAGAGTGTGCTGAGGAACCGGGGTGCTCCTCCACGGAGGTAGGAGAAGCTCTGGAGGGCAGAAGAACATCTTCCCGTTCCTTGAGGGAGATGAAATTAAACCAGGCAGGGTGTTGTGGTGTCACCTGCTTGCCCTGTCTGTGAGGAACTACCTGGAGAAATACAAGCAGGACACAGACAGAGCAGGGCTGTCCTTCCACCAGCTCTGTGCTCCCCAGCTACCACAGGCACCCCAGCATTGTTGGTGCAGGGCTCCAAGATCCTTGCTCAACAGGTCCACCCGTCAGGTGTATTTCTCCTTGTCCTTCTGCAAAGTTTCTTTTCTGGGCTAATCTTGTTTAATTTTCAAATTGGTCATTTTCTTGCTTCAGACATGTGTGCACTGAATCTTTCAGAGGCAAGGAGACATTTGACTAAATGGAGCTGCCAGTGGCCTAATCTAATGGGAGGATTTGAGCTAATGCAAGGGATTGTATTTTGATTAAAAAGATAAAAAGCAATAACAAATCATGAATTCCAGTGCAAAGACAATGGCTAAAAAGGGCAGAATTTGCTGCTGTCTCTTTTTTCTGCAAGATGACACATCAGGCCTGCTATAAAATCTCTCCAAATCCAATTTTGCTGGAGCATGGGTTGAGTGTGATACAGTGTAAAATGGTCCAGATCCACCTATTTGAACACAGAGATGTTTGCTGGTAGCCTTGGGGAAGATGAGGTGGCCTGTTCTGAGGACAGTGGCTTGTCCCCCTGCCATTGTGACTGCTGCCTCTGTGGCACTGGCAGCCAGGCCAAGCCCTGTTGTCAATGTGGTGACCTGTTATGGGCAAGAGCTTTGCTATGACTTGGGGTATGTGCTCAGACCGGGAAGGGGCTGAAGGCAGAGAAGCACATTTCTTTGAGAAGAGCAGGAGGACAATGCCATGGGGTGGACATCAGGAACCACTTCAGTCCTGCCATAGCACTGAAGACAAAGCAGGGGCCTCTGCTGCCTGCCCAGGGAGAGTCCCCAGTGCTGGGGTTTCCCCTGCAGCAGCCCCAGGCTGCTCAGCCTTTCACTTCTCTCAGTAGTTTCTCTCCTGTGGGTTGAACACCGCCCATCTGGGTGCACACTGACACATGCTCCATGCTTCACTCCCCTGTACCTGACCCTTGAGCCTCAGGGAGCCATGCCAAGCCCCACAGCAGGGACCTCAATTTTGTGGCCAGGATAGGTGCTGTATGTTCATTCATCAAAGAGCTATAGATCACTTCTCTATGGGCTTTCTTGGATAAACCTCATGCCCATCTCATCCTTCCAGTCTTATGCCCAATCTTCCTCACCAATCCCTATCATTACTTTGCAGACTTGTGCTCAGGGCTCACCCTTCAGTGTTTGCTTGCAGAGCACCATCCAGCTGCCTCTGAACACATTGTAGATTGTGTCTTCCTGATGGCTGCCCTCAACGGCTGGCATCCACCAGGCAAAACCCAAAAGCAGAAACTGGGGTTTGGGTGAAGCAGAGGAGGAAGTGTGGGGAAATGAGGTGTGTGGTGTGAGAGCTGCCAGCATTAAAACTGAAAGTTTTGTTTCTCACTCCTTGCAGATCCACCATCCGAAATGTGAAGAGCATCCACAAGCAGGGCCGGAAGCAAATCAGCCAGGAGACCTACAGGAGGAACAGCAAGAAGTACATCCAGAGCCAGCGGAAAATACGGGGAAATTCCCAGAACAAGGCCAATGTCATCAGTAAGCCTCAATGGAACTGGAATCCTGCAGGCATGACCCATGCCCCCCACCACTGCTGGCAGCTGGAGCAGGATGGCACACTGAGGTCACACCATGCCCACCTGCCCTTTTCCCATGGGGAAAGTCTACGCAGGGAGGTGTTTCTTTCAGTGAGTTTTCTTACCTCTGGCTATAAGTCAGACACAGCAGAATATGGTCCTGGAAGAGGTCAGCCCACATTTGAAACCTGTGCTTTCCTTTGTTCCTAACCTCCCCCCTGCTGCCATTACCACTGCAATTGCCATGTATGTTGCTGTCAGCAGAGCCCCCAGAAGGAAGTGTTACATGAAGAATTATAGAATTTGGTTTTGATAGGAAGGGACCTTAAAGACCAATTCATTCAAAGCTTCCACTTGATCAGGTTGCTCCAAGCCTCATCCAACCTAGCCTTGAACACTTCCAGGGACAGGGCAGCCACAGTTTCTTTGGGTAACCTGTGCCCCACTACCTTCACAGAAAATAATTTTTTCCTAATATTTAATCTAACCCTGGCCTCCAACAGTATGAAGCCACTCCCCCTCATCCTACCAGTTCAGGCCCTTGTAAAAAGTGTCTCTTCATGAAGAAGGAGGGCGGTAGGTCCGTGACCTTCCCAGAGCTAAAGATGGGCAGACCTCATGCAGACCTAGAGACGGGCTTTCCCTGAGCACAGCTCCCAGCAGGGCACTACTGGGTTCATCCTGACACCATGACCTAAGGAAGGCCCTACATGCAGCAGGGACAGGAGGAGAGGCAGGAGCTTTGGTGGCCATGATGTAGGAAGCTGCTGAATGTTCATGAGGGTGGTGTGTGGTGCAGAGCTCTGACCCATCTGTACATCTTTTTTACTTGCAGTTGAGAAAGATGAGCCAGGGGACAACAAGCCCAAGGCTCAACCTGCTGTTCCTCCCCGTCCCAGCAAGGACCTCATCCTGAACCGCTGCACTGAGAGCACATGGAGGAAGATCCTGTGAGGATCCTGTGAGTCCCCACACCAGCTACCCAAAGCTTCATCTCCTCCAGCTCCTGTGCAGCTAGGGCTCGGAGCCGGACCAGGGATCCAGGTGGTTCTGGCAGCCACCACAGGCCAGGGAGGCTGCGGCCATATCAGCCCAGCCCAGTGCCCTTCCTCATCCTCCACCTCAGCCCGCCCATGGTGTCCTGAGAGCACTTGGAGGAGGGACCAGCCCTGCTCTACCAGCTCCTCATAAGCACCAAGTCCTCATCTCTACATGCCCTTCTATTACCTCTTTGTATTTTGAACTATTTTTGTGGTTTTCATCAATAAAGGAGAGATACTTGATAGACCCTGAGGAGCAGTGTGGGCATGGCGGCAGGAAAGGTGCTCCTCCCGGCGGATATTGGGCAAGGGACTCTTCCAAGAAATGCTGGCAGTGAGGATATTTAGTTGGGGGGATAAAAGGACAGCAGCTTCTTCCTGGGAGGTGGCTGCTTGGCTCCCTCGAGAGGACAGCGAGGGCTCAGTGTTGAGACAGGGCTGCTTCTCACACGGAGCGTGGTGGGACGGCTGCACCTGGTTACCGCCCCAGCCAGCCCGGCCGCCGCTGTGCCGGACGGGGCCGCCTTCGGGTGGGATCTCGGTTTGGCTTTGGGATGGCGCCGGGTCGATGTGTAGGTTTGTGCCTGGGTGTTTTAGTTTTGATTCTCTGGGGCTGGGTCTAAGTCCACACTGGGGTGTGGGGGTGTGTTTAGATTTAGGCCTAGGTCGGGGTGTAGGTTTAGGTGTGAGTTTGGGCCGGGCTAGGCTCAGGCCTGGCTGTAAGCTCAGCCGCAGCTCAGGTTCTGGGCGGGTGTGAACGCTCCCCTCAGAGGGCGGTGTGGCCCCTTTAAGAGAAGCGCGCAGCTGCTGCGCGCATGCGCGCAGGGGAGCTGACGCTGTGCGGGCCCGCGAGTGAGCGAGCCGAGATGGCGGCGGCCTGAGGGCAGCGATGGCGGGGCTGGCGCGGCGCCTGCACTGCAGGGGCTTGTGCGTGCCGGCACGGCCGCCGAGCACCCGCCAGCTGCGGGAGGCCGAGGAGGCTGCCCCGGTGTTCCAGTACGTGGGGAAGGCGGCCAGGCGCAAGGACCGCGTGTTCGTGTGGGGCTTCAGCTACTCGGGCGCCCTGGGCATCCCCAGCTTCGTGAAGCCGGACGCGGGCTGGAAGAAGCCGCGGCGCATCCAAACCACGCCGTACCGCCTGGAGACGGAGGAGAAGGTGGGCCCGGGCCGGTCCGCCGGGGCCGACGTGTCTGCCCCGGCCTCCGCAGCCCGGTCAGGGCTTAGCACAGCCGAGAACGGCCTTACTGGATCGGGTTTAAAGGCTTTGCCGTGATTCCGTGTTTTCTGTCGGTATAGCGGTATTGCTTGGGATGGTGCCTGGTTTAACTGCAGCAGCATATAGTTTAGTAAATATGTATTAGTAATTTTGTCAGAGGCATTAGAGAGCCAGGGTGAAATAGAAGCATTTTTCTGGTAAAAGGGGCCTCTTCAGCTCCGTGGCTGCTCCCACCTGACAGGCGGGAAGCTTGTGTCGAAAATCACGTTATTCTTCTGCCTCGTGTTTCACTCGTGCTCTGCTCTCGAGTGCAGAGGAAGTCAGAGCGCTCCCGGAGTGCCTTGGCGCTGGGAAGGGCTCGGAAGGATGGCGGAGTCGGCTCCTGGCCCTGCGCGGGGCAGCCCAGCAGTCCCACCCTGCCCTGAGAGTTGTCCGAACCCTCCCTGGGGCCGGGGCCGTTCCCTGGGGAGCCTGTTCAGTGCCCCACACCCTCTGCGGGTGGAACCTTTTCCTGAAATCCAGTCTAAACCTCCCCTGGCACGGCTGCCCTCGGGTCCTGTCGCTGGTCCCTCGGGACGAGCTGCAGACCCCAGTGGGATCTGACCTCAGTCTCCATTTCTCCCGGCTGAGCACCAAGTGACACAGTTGCTCCTCATGTGACTCTTATGCTGGGCTTTTTTTTGTCAAAAGGAGTAAAACATGTTATTCTCTTAATATCTCTGTATCTTTCTTAATTTTTAAAATTTATTTTAATCTGCTGATGCAGGTCAGCAAATAGGTCTTTCTGTGGTGTTGATGGGGCCAAGGTAATGCAGAAATAAAGATGTATGCAGACAAAACCAAAACTTTTAAGGCAGAATGGTTGGACCTGAGTTTTCACCATTGTGCTTATCACAAAAGACTGATAATTTTTGGAAGACCATACATGCCATGAATTTGGGCTGCATGTGAATGTAGCTTAATGAAGAATGATTGCTGGTGAACAAGTAGCCTGGAGTGAAATCTGCTTTTCTAAGCCAGTTTCTAACTGAGTGGTGTGGGTTTTGTCTGCCTTCAAAGATATCCTCTGCTGCCTGTGGTTATGGATTCACACTGCTGGCTTCAAATACCAGAGACATCACCAAAGTGTGGGGCATGGGGCTCAACAAGGATTCCCAGCTTGGATTCCAGAGAAGCAGAAGAGATCAAAGTAAGGATTTAAGTGTTTTAAAGACTTGCAGGGTGACACTGCAGTATGCCTGTGGTACAGGAATCTCCATGTGTTTGGAGCTGTGAAAAACATCAGGAGACTTTGGTGCAGTCCCAGGCTGTGCTTTATGTTTTTAAACAGATCTTTTTTTCTGAAATGTATCCATGTTTTTGTGTGCTTTGTAATTGATCAGTGTGTGCCTCTGTTTTGTACGCTGCACTTAATTAGTTTCATCTGGATTGGAATGTAGTTGTTCATTCTGCAGAGTGTGATGTTGGTTAATTTGTGGCTTTGAATCTATAGTTTGATAGAAGGCACAGTGTAGTTAATAAAATCATTTTGGCAGGATGGTGTGCTTGCTTCTGTTGCCTTTGCACTTAAAAACTAAAGTCCTTTGTCCTCCTTCCCTCCCTGGTTTGAGGTTTTTTTTATACAGTCTGTGGAGTTTTTGTGAAACTGTAGGGTTTGTTTTAAATTCCTTCAATAGGTTGCATTTTGAAGGAAAAACTTGGTTTTTAGTCATTTTGTCTTACACCAGGCTCTCAAACTTATTTAAGGCAATTTCTTTGCAGAACATTGCCACCTACCACTGAAGACAGGAAAACCACAAACTTTCCTCATGGAATGGCTGACTGCATAGACATTCCTCCATAACCAGTTCAGGAAAATCACAATAAAAGCAGTTTTTGTCATTATGATGTATAAGAGTGTAATCCATCAAGGTAGGGTGTGTATGATATGGGCAGAAGATTAAAGTTGGTGGAGAGGCAAAAGAAAATTGCAGCTGCAGTGCAGCATGGTGAGGTTTGCAGTGGTGCTGCTTTGTGGGGCACACTGGGTAGTTCTGTGAGAGTGTGCACACACAGCAAGTGCGTGCTTAGACAGCAGCTGCAAAATGCAGGGGCTGCAGGAGCTTCTGCTCACTTCTGCTTTTAAAGGTTTCAGCTCTTGCTGGGTCTTATGTACGTGCTGATGTCTTAGGAGTGTCTTGCAATTACCTTGTTTTTCATCTGACCTGGAAATTATTTTTGTCAGAGAATGAAGAAATAGGTTAAATAGTTTTGCAGTTCAAGCCCTGCTAAGTAAGAGAGTGTGTTTGGCAAGTTGAAAATGTGAAGATCAGTGGGATTGCTACTGCTTCATGTTTAATGTCCCACCAGGCAAGCTTTCCTTTGGGATGTGTTGCTCGTTGCTGTTTTACAGACTGACTTTGGTGCCTGCTGCTTCCAACGCTGTGTTGCTGTAGATGCTTCAATTCCAAGGGAATTTGCAGCCTTCTGACTTTTAGATGGTTGCATCTAAACTACTGCTATTTCACACTCACCCCCCTGTTCCTTACTCCTCATTGTCTCTTTTCTCCAAATCCCCTCAGCTGTCAGTGATGGTTATTACAGATCCCAGTGGCATGTGTCTTTCTGCGGGAGGGAACAGAGAGAGGAAAAGGTTATTTTGCTTTGACTTCCAGGTGTTTCTAGACAGACAGAGAGTTGGTTGTGTTTAAGTTCTGCTCTGTTGCATGGCAGATGCCCACCATTGGTAAGCTGCCTGTTGTGCTGCCTGTCCTCATGTCCAGTAGTGTCTTATTCCAAAAGACCTTGTGTAGACTTTTAAATTTTAATTTTTTAAAAAATCTTAGGTGTTTTTTTGTTGTTGTGGGTTTTTTTGTTTGTTCGGGGGTTTTTGTTGTTATTGTTTTAGTTTTATTTTTATTGAAGGCAGCAAGAACCAGTAAAGCACTGCTGCCTGTGTGCAATATTGCTTTGGGTCCTCCAGGATTTGATTTCACTTATTACAGTAACTTTGATTTCAAGACTTTTTATCTTTTTATCATCTCCTCTTAACAATTTCCCTAGTACTGATTTACAGCTTGCTGTTCTTTCCCCCCCTCCCCCAGTTGACTGTAATTGATTCTGTGTTCTGCAACTTACTAAATCTTTGTAAAGTACAGCATGTCTTTTTTCATAGACGTTAGGTATCTTATTCCCTGTGGGCCTAGCTAGTCTTTCTTGCATTCCTTATTTCTGAAAATGCCTGTAATCTACTTTAAGATTTTTTTGTTTACCTTTCCTGATACATTTTTGTGATTGTTGCTCTTGTACCTTGTTTGCAATATCCCCAGTTGCACAGAATGTTTGTGCATGGTATTAAGCTTTAGTAATCCAGCTGTATTCACTGAAGTGGTTGAACACGTGGGTGAAAGCCTCAGTTTTACAATTCTGCCACCTGAAGGCATAATAACATTCACTCTCTAGTTATGGTGGACTTTTGTTTAGGCAGTGATTAGCTTCAGCTATCTCCATAGCTTTTATCTTCTCCTTCCCTCTGTGATAAATCCCTGTCAGCCTCTTTGGTTAGTGTCTTGGCTTTCCAAAATGTATCTGCTTGTGTAACAAAGCAGAAATGAGTGTGTGAATGTACAACAGGATCAGCAAATGTATGTTAAATTTACTTTCTGGAAGCTACTGACTTAAAATTGTTCTCTTTTCCTTAAGCCAAGGGCTATGAATATGTCTTGGAACCATCTCCAATTCCATTACCACTGGAGAAACCACAGCAAACTCGAGTCTTGCAAGTGTCCTGTGGGAGAGCCCATTCCCTGGTCCTGACAGATAGTGAAGGAGGTACAGTGTTGTTTGTGCTGGTGATCTCTGTGGGTGCCTGGCTATGCTTTTACTAAAAGCTTGAAAAAAATTGTCTTCTCTCCTTTAGAACTCTATCCCAGGTGGGCTGCTTGCACTGTAAATGGGATGCAGGCAGCTGTTGGCCTTTGTGGGATTGCTTCTGTGAGG